CCATACCCAGGGATTACACATATGTTTGTCATATTGAAGGGTATTACGTTTGTATGGACAACAGGAAGAGACAAAAGACATGCAATACAGCAAAAACAACACACAGATACGCGTCGACACAAAACACCGAGAAACACAAGAATCCATATAAAAACACTCTACTTTTCAATTTCAATTTGACAAAAAAAAAACCAAAAATAACCGGCAACAAAACCAACAAGCCGGTAGCGAGTGACAAACTAAGAAATAAATGCAATTTCAATTTTTTGTCATCGCCATTGTTGTTGTTGTTCTCATTTCATTTCAATTCGTTTGACAATAATGCATTGTTGACATGATTAAACATTTTAAGTGACATCTGTGTGAAAATGAGAAATGACACAAAAAAGAAAAAAACAAACTAAACAGAAAAACGATCAAATTGAATGCGAATTCGATGATAACAGCTGGGATGCTGGTGTTTGAATGGAATGGAATATTGTCCATTTCCCGCAACACCCACTGCAGCCTTTGGATTGTTAAGCCATCGACACTTCTGTCAAAGTGCTGTCTAAATTTATTGCTCGGCGAGTGAAGTGTTTTCTATTTTGGTCAAACGTTTTCAAATGCAACTCGAACAACGCCATCAATTGAAATTGGTGATAATTTGCATTTTAAATTTATCAGTTTTTTTTTTTTTTTTTGGTATAAAATGCAAATGTGTGAAGTTTTTTTTTTTTAGTTTTGTGTGATAAATATTTAAAATTTTATTCAATTCCGCAACAATAATCTGAGTTTTTCTGATGGGTGAATAGAAAAAAGACGGCAAATGGTGTAGATTAGATTTTTATGATTCTATGAATAATGAATTAAGCTTTGTTTTAATTACACTTTGCGGCAGAAATCATTTTTTCAATAATTTCAGGAAAAATCCGCTAGATTTTTGAAACAGAACTAAACATAGAAAACACGTGTATCGGTGTTCTGAAAATTTTAGACCCTCTGGAGTATCAGATCAGCATTAAATTCTATGTCGATCTAGCGATGTCCGTCCGTCTGTGGAAGTCACTCTGACTGCGAACGAAATGAAGTAGTTTGATAAAATTTTACTCAGATACGTTTAAGGTCTGCAAGACTTTTGGTATTTGGAAAATAGTCTATATAGGAGCATGTTTTGGTATAGCTCCCATAAAACTGTACTTCCAGATCTATAGTCCTTTGGTCTATTAAGTCATAATTTTAAGCCGACAATTGACAGTTTCTATCCAAGTTTTGGTACAGGTCTAAGTCCAAGTTTGGTATAATCCCGATGTTTCGATATTTTGATGATCTGGACCAAACTTATCAACGGTATTATTCACAATTTGGTACTTGGAGTTTGTAATGGGTACTACCTCCTATGACAGAAAACTGCCTTACAGATCCAAGTTTTCGTACAGCTTCCATATGTTACCTCCCAACAGATTTAATGATTTTACCTACATATTTTTCGCCGAATTATCTCAGACTTGGTATTTAGAGATCGTAATAAGTGCCGCTTTCTTTGACAGATAACTGGCTATAGGGGTCCAGGTTTTTGTATACTCCCCATAAACAGTATCTTCCTATATTCGGTATTTTTATAATCTTAGCTGGACTTTTTATCGAACCCCAATTCCTTCAACCATTTTATTTCTTTACAGTTGGGAACTCCGATGTACGTTACCTAATTATCCTTTAATTGTGTACGTTTGTGCATATAGTATTGTGATGTGATTTTCTTCAACAAAAAACATTTTTTTCCAAAACATGTTTATTTTCCCATAAAAGAGCACAGGAAACAATAACCTGCCTCGCTTTCCAATCACACACACTTAAATTCCAGTCTATATTTTTACAAAATTGCTCCAATTGTGTGCTTCTGTACTTGGACCCCAACATTTACTTATTACTCATAACATGATTGAAGATTTATTATCTATGTTATTAAACCATTTATTTAAATTAATTGAAAAGCAAAATTGAACATTTGTCGTTTCCATGATTAGTATTAATTATAGACATCTTAAGAGTAGCCATGGTAGATCTGTGTCCACTTGCCTATGACTATATGATATTGGCTCCCAATGGCAAGAAATAGTAAAAGAAAAGAAAACGAAAAGAAAAATTAGATTTAATTGAACGGGCGGTCAATAATCGAGTGCACTACAACAATATCCACTTATTGTTGTTGTTGTTGCTGCTCTTAAGATTCGATGTTTGGTTGGTATGGGTGTTGGAGACACAACTTACTTACTACAGTTATTATTAGGTTGCACATAACGAACTATGAAATATACTTTCTGCAGCTCTATAATTTGAATAAAGCTCCATGGTTGTGCCAATGACAACAATAACAACAGACGAATAGTAAACAAGAAATTAATGACAATCAATGGAAAATTGTCTCCACGTTTGTTATATGACTAATAAACTCTGATTATTATTACAAACTTTAGCTACTACTATGTATTATTACTTTTTAATTTTGAATATAATACCCACTCTTTGGTTTACATGAATGAATAGAGATTTATATATTTTCGTGTGTGTGTGGCCATGCCAGGGAGACAATTTATTGTATTACGTCATTTGTTACTATCGCTTTTTCCACTATTTAATAATTGTTATTATTTATTAATACTTTCAACGGTAATTTGCTTTCAAGAAACAATAATTAGTATTTGGAAATGCATTTGTTGACAGTAGACTACGTTTTGAGAATATTACAATTGTTTATATTAGTAAAAAAACAAGTAAGCAAATACTATAGTCGTGCGGGGCCTACCATGTGATACCCTACAACACTACAATATGTTAGAAGCTCCCTTATATCCCATTGATTTTGGAAGATTTAGCTTTTGAAATTATGTCAAAGGGCACTGACCTGACCAGGAACATTTGCCCAATATTTAAGCACTCCGTCATGCTGTTAGTTGTTGTGGTACACTTTCCATCCAAAATGCTTGAATTCTTCCTTGTCCTTAACTCTGTCCTCAGGCGTGTCGATTGGCTTCAATTGTGTGATCAGGAATTTTATTTCTGTTTTTGGTTCATTTGAACTCCTATTATATTATGATAATATTTTGCGATCATCTCCAAAAGCAAGAGGCCCCTCCGTATCTCCAAATTTAGACTCATCTATATGATTTGCTTGTCTACGATATTTGGCTATATTCGTCAACGAAATCACCATAAAAAACGGAAGTTCGGCTTTTGTGTATTTCGGATATCATCTGTAAGTAATGTTGGTATTTTTTCACACAAAAGTAGCGGCTCATTCTACTGAAAATATCGCATGCGATAAAAAATATGAAAAAATAAAAATATGTCACAAAATACTACAAAACCTATATTAACACCATTATTGACATCTTTTTATGAGATTTTTTTAGACTTTATACTTTTATGACAAGAGGGCATTCTGAATTGACAAAATTTGTCAAAATCGGTCCAGCCATTCTTGAGATATAAGCATTCTAACTAACATACCCTTCCTTTGTATATACATATTGTATATAGTTCGCTATATAACCGATATATTTACTATCGGCATCTACGTAACGGTCAGAATTGACCTTTTCGTCTATTTGTGATTTCGCCGGGATTAAAAATATTCGCTGTTTAATGGAAATTTTGACTTTTATTTAAAACAAATGTTAAATATTACCCGATGACCATCAAAATCGGAAGGCTTCTGCCCAGCCCGAAGCCTTAGTTCCATGCTAATTTCCGCGTCGATTGGTCCATAATTGCGACCTGAAAAGCAACTGCAAAATCAGGATTTTTTTCAGTTTTTGGTCCATTTCGACCCCTAAATATTGTGCGATCATCTCCAGAAGAAATAGGCTTCTATTCTGATCCTAACCCCACCTTCGTGCAAAATTTCGTTAGGATCGGGCCATAATTGCGACCTGTAGCGTGATTACAAATTAACATGGACAGACGGACGGACGGACATACATAGCTAGATCGACTCAGCTCGGCGAGATAGGAAGATCCATATATACTTTACTAAGTGGGAAATGAATATTTCGTGGTGTTACATAATTTTTGGCCCAATCAAACTTATAATACCCCCAACACAAAGTGTTGTAGGGTATAAAAAGTACAAAATTTAGACAAAAGCGGATACGCCTCTGCTTTCTACAAGGTAATCTATTTTCATAACAGTTTTAACAATTCCAATATCCAATTTTTATAGAAAACACCTTCTCCCAAAAGATAATTCTAATAATAAATGTCAAAGTGTTCACGTAAAACGAAATTAGGTGTTTTTAGTACTTTTAGTACACTTTTAGCTCTAATTAAAAAAAAAAACTTGATATATGCTATCCTCATTCCAAATCTCTATTAATTTCTTGGCTATCCCTTCACCAAATACACTTACCAGTTTTCAAATCAAATACAAATATCATATATCAACCGCAGTGAACAAAAAGTGATTCTAATACCAACTTTTAAATGTTCAACTCCACTCTTTCCCCCAATACCAAATATAATACTATTTAGTATTTTTCATACTATTTTATTATGTATTTGCAAAACCACCTCTTTATTTCAACCCCATCCACCACCAGACCAACATTTCAAGATTCCAGCTTTACAACCTTACCCAACCCTACTTCCCAAACTTATTTTTTATTCAAAATGTAAAGATTTTAGCTCAACCCGTTCACACAATAACAAATGTTACATATTTTATTGTTTTACTTTTAGTAAACTTTTAGTAAACCTTATCTCACCCCTTCACATCACTTTATCTGTTTCACCTGGGCGTTCAATTATTTATCACTAACTGAAATATTTTCATATTTCGAAATGAATGCAGTGTTCCCTAAAATAGCTCTAGCGCTCACAATTATTCACACAGGTAGTAATACATAAATATAAGCCTTAGTATTGACGTCACCTTTTATATTATGTTTGCAGAAACAAAATCGATTCACTCATTCCAGAGAATATCAACTCAATGCAACTTTATTATATATAGAGGTATTTTATTGTAAATAAAAAGGCTTAATAATAATTACAAATGTTAAGAAGAAAAAAAAATACCCCCAGTACCATCACCATATCCGACAAGATTCTTCGGGTGGACTCATCTTCGATTTAGGCGAACAATTAAAGGCCAACGAAAATTCCCCATATTTTGACCAGTTCTGTTGCACCCTCTTGTCGTGCATGTCATGCGCCAAATCTGAGGTAGTATTCAAACCCAATGCTGCAATTTTATATATATCAGCGCAGAGAAATTGCACAGAGTTAACAAAGAAATATTGTTCTTTGGTGAGGCGGAGAAAAGGAAAAGCAATCTCATCTTTAGAATCGTCCATTATTGTTTGATAGTAGTTAAAGGCCACTCGCAGACCTGAGACATCGGCTATGTTTTCCGAGGCAATATCTGAACGGGCACTGTGCGAATAGCATTTTAGATGGGGTGTAAAATGATGGGCCACCTTAGATCCAAGATAATCGTAATTACTCTCATGATCATAGATAATGTGAAATAAGTCGTAGGCGTGGATTATTTCATGGGCCATGATGAAGCCCAGCAGGGAATATTGATGAAGTTGATGGAGGCGAGTATCATAGAGTGGCAACTGCAGATAGCCATGTGGCACTAATATGGCATTTTCAAATATTTTCACTGGCGATGAGGAGCTTAACGAGGCGGTGTCCAAGTGATAGACTTTATCGGCAATGGTTGTGGGCTTTGCTTCTAAGTTGCGGTAATGCAGCTCATTCATAAATCTCAAAACATTCAAATGGGTCTGAATAAAATCACTGCTATTTACGTTTAATTTTTCATAGAACTTTTCAACAAATTCCTCGCTACAATTACGTGGTAGGTTACCAATTTTCAACTGCATATGGTGCAGTTCTTTTAGGATGAAATTTTGTTCTTGTGTATTTAATTTTAAATGGTTATCCTTGACCAGGGATTCAAACGACTTCTTAAGATTATCGAACATTCGACCCAGACTTTTTTCCACTTCCAAACGTTTGCTTTTGAAAAATTGTTCTTCGTATAGGTAATTCATAAAAACGGGCATATAGCTTCGTATATATTTCACACAATTCCTTTGCCGGCCATAGGGTAAATTATCATTTATATAATACATAAATTTCAGCATTATATAATAGGCAATGGTCTCGTTGGAATAGCCCTCCAGCAACTCCTTGAGGTTGGAGAAAAATTCAGGAGTTAAAGCAAATGTTTGTATTGTTAAATTGCTCAAATCCTCCGGCTTGGTGGTGGTGGTGGTGTTCAAAACAATTTGGAAATATTTCATCCAATCAATTTCGGGTATGCTCTCTTGCAGCTCTTTCAGATGCATTTGTTGGAAATTATCAGCATAGTTTCTGCTCTCAGTTTCATTGACAAACACAATTTTCGACAAATTACTGAGAGTCGTTTCGAATTCAATTATCTCCTTGGTCAGACTATGACTTGCATTGTGATCCATTCCGAAATTTATGAAAATGTTCTCAACATCGTCGGGCTCCAGCACAGAAGCGCCCTCATAATGTTGGGAAATTTCCAAAAAGTATTGAGAACTATTACGTGGATTAACATTTACATTTTGGGTTAGAAATATGCCATTCAAGCCATATCTTCTCAATACCGCCAAAACTCGCTGCCAATCAAAATTACTGGCATTTAGCCATTTATCTTCATTGTCCAGAGTAAATATGGGCCATTCCATTTCCACTTCGCTTTCCACTGCAGCCAGAAATTGATTCAACACCAATTGCTCCACATTTTCACAACCTTCATATAAATGCTTGGCTTTTTGATACACTCCAGTTTTCCATTTCATATCATTTCCCCCGGCCATTAGCTCCTTAAATTGTTGATTCACCTTATAATCCATATAGCCCGGCATATCAATATATTCCGCTTTACCACCATCATAATTGCGATACCAATTTCCACAGGCATATTCATAGAAATTTTCACATGGATCCACCGATTCATTCAGATTTGCCTTGATTAATTTCTCATAGAATTTATTCACATTTATGGCGGAACCCGTAGCAAAATCCACCGCCAAAAGTTTAATTAAAAACACTATTAAAATCCAATGACAAACCATATTTATGTGTTCTTTTTTTCTGTGTCCAGAAGATGACACTCCCAATGCCGTACTAATCTGAAAATAGTTCTGTAAGAGAAATCTACTTCATTTCATCTTCATGGGCTGTGGATTTTATGTTCGCTCGTTATTAATCTTTTTTCATTTTGAGTTTATCAAAATTCTCTTTGTTGTTGTTATTGTGTTTGTCTGTTTCGTGTTTGTTTTAATTTGTATTTACTACAAATGTCCATTGTTGTTATTATTGTACTTTCATTTCATTATTATCATCAACTCATTTATAGTTCTTCTTCCGTATCTCTAAAAATTGAAATTGAAACAAAGATCTATCTCGAGCTCGAGTGCTGGCAGTGAAACTATGGCACAAATCAATGTTGACCCTTGTAAAACGCATAAACAAATGATAATTCAAACAAATATGAAACAGAAATACAGTGGGTATGGTATGCACTGTGCAAAATTACAATTTAATAAAAAGTATCAGTCGGTTTTGCCGACAGATGTATACCCACAGTCAATGTTCGATTATTTTAACATATTTTTGACTACTGTTTTGTTTATTCAAATTGGCCAATATGGTCCATTTCTTATTGGACCTAAATAAATATGATGATAAATATATGCGACGTGTCGGGTTTGGAGTATATTGGTTACTTCCTTCACTTTATGTATATATCAAAATATTTAGAGCTTTTAAAGAAAGCTTTAGTTAACTTTAAGAAAAAACGCTTTAAAACTGGGTCGTGAGCGTCATTATTTTTTTACGTTTGATTTCTAGTATTTTTTACAATTTTTCATATTTTCATGAATAAAGGAATAATACATCCCTAAGATTGGCTAAATTCTTTTTTTTTTCTTTATATAAAAAGTCCTCGCCAAAAATCCTAGACTCGCGTTTAGTAAGGTATAGAAAATATGAAAAATAATATTTTTGTCTCTGACGTCATCCGTATAAAATGATATTTTGTAGGAGAATTTTGCACAAACTCACATGAGGTACGGCTTCAACTCTAAAATGTGTTTTTAATAAAGGGTATTTTTTTTAAGCTCAATAGAACTTGAAATTATAAAAACTAGTACAAAAAATTAAATTTTAATCAATCTTTTTTTATTCGAACGATTAACACGTGACATTAACATTTGAAAATGATTTCGTGCATATGGGCACCGCGGCTGTTTTTGACGAAGTGCATTCTGTTCAATTTTTTTTCGAGCACTGCTGGCCGTATGTCACGAATAACACGAAGAATGCTGGCCTCCAAGGAGTCAATTGTTGCTGGTTTATCAGCATAAACAAGGGACTTCACGTAGACCCACAGGGTCAATTAATATTGCTATAGAAAGCATGATATAACTTCGAGAAGGTTTAAATTAAACAAGTAAAAAAGCTTTAAGCTGAATACCCTCCACCATTTGGAACGAATTTGCCAATTTTCGAAAAAATAAAAATTCTGTTAAAATCTTAAAAATTCTGAATGTAGCCATTGTATTAGGGACTATACGACGAGGTGAAACTGCATAGGAAACTTTTTGTCAAAAGCCACTGCAATATTCAAATGCAAAACTTGAAAAAACACACCCTTGAATAATGTAGCTAAAATCATCAAAATACCGAATATAGGGAGGTACTGATATATGGGGGCTATACCAAAAACGTGAACCTCCGGTGAATAATGTAGCTAAAATCATCAAAATACTGAATATAGGAAAGAACCATTATATAGGAGCTACACCAAAACGTGAGCCTGCACAGACAATACTCTAGCCTAGGCTGTAGTATCCATTACGAACTTCAAATACTAAATTTGAAACAATTTTGGTGAATAATATCGCTAAAATCATCAAAACACCGACTATCGGGAGGTACCATTATATGAGAGCTATACGAAGACGTGGACCTGCACAGACAATTTTCTGTCTTAGGCTGTAGTATATATTACGAACTTCAAATACCAAATTTAAAACATTTCCGGTGAATAATGTCGCTTAAATCAACAAAATACGGCAAATAGGTGCTATAGGCAAGAGGTACCATTATATGGGGGCTATACCAAAACGTGGCCCATTTTCAATACCAAAAGTCCTGCAGACATGATATACAGTTGAGTAAAATTTTATTAACCTACTTCATTTCGTTTGGAAGCTAGAGTGATTTCCATAACCGATCAGACGGCGACATCGGTCGACATAGAATTTCATGCTGATCAGGAATATATATACTTTGTGGGGTCTAAAAAGTATATTTCGAGGTGTTACAAACAGAATGACAAACTTAATATACCCCCATACTATGGTGGAAGGTATAAAAATATACATCGGAGCTATAGATGTATGACAACCGAGTTTAACCAAATGTCTTACTTGTTTCCAGGATAGATTTTTTCCAAACTTGAAGTACTTGCTTTAGGCTGAACACGGTCAGATGTGTTTATACCCTACACCACAAGGTGGTCAGGGTATTATGTCTTTGTGCATTTGTTTGTAACAGGCAGAAGGAAACGAGATAGACCCATAGTTCCTTTTGATGATCTGCATAGAATCACATTCTGAGTCGATTTATGCATGTCCGTCCGTCCGTCTGTCCATGTATTTTTGTAAACAAAGTACAGGTCGCATTTATTGCCCGATCCAGATGAAATTTTGCAAAGATCTTTTGTTTGGCCCAAGGACGAACCCCATTGAAATTGGGGATAATCGGTAAAAATTTAGATATAGCTCCCATATATATCTTCGTCCTATTTTCCTTTTATTGTGCACCAAACGTGTAATATCAGCCCGAATTGTATGGAATTTTGCATATACACCCAAATTAGGCCTGATGTATGCCAAATTTGATCGAAATCGGTTCAGATATAGCTATAGCTCCCATATATATTGTTCATCCGATTTGTTATTTTTGTATGCAACAACAATATTTGGGGAAATATATCAAATACAGCTCAGAAATACCTTTGCTAAATTTTATCGAGATCGGTTCAGATTTGGATATAGCTCCCATATATAACTTCGTCCGATTTACATTTTATTGTGCACCAAGCGTCTAATATTTGTCCAAATGGGATGGAATTTGGCACTTACGACCGAATTGAGTCTAGAAGCTAGTATGTCAAATTTGGTGAAGATCGGTTCAGATATAGCTATAGCTTCCATATATATTATTCATCCGATTTGTTATATTTGTTACCCCCAACCGTAATATGCACTCCGTAACAACGATATTCAGGGAAATATATCAAATACAGCTCAGAAATATATTTGCCAAATTTTATCGAGATCGGTTCAGATTTGGATAAAGCTCCCATATATATCTTTATCCGATTTCAAATTAATTGTGCACCAAATGGGCAATACAATTCCGAATTTAAAAGATACAAATGCTTCGGCATATTTAGTCCTTTGAACTTTAAATTATAATTATAATCATATCGTGTATGATTGAATTCTCCCATAAAAACTTTTAATTGTTATATGGAGCTCTACTAAATTAGCAAAGTGGTGTTACTGGTTTTCAGATGTCCTTGAGCCAAAAAAATGATTTGTGAAAAAATTCAATTGGACAATAAAGGTGGCCCTACATGAACAGGCGGACATGCATAAGTCGACCCGGAATATGATTTATGGAGATCAACAAAATGAACTATGGGTATATTTCGAGTCCTTCTGCATGTTACAAACAAATCCACAAAGCCATAATTCCATCCCAATTTCCAACTACATTTACATTAGTAAGAATATTTTTAAAGTTAGTGCAATATGAAATTATGAATACTATAATTGCCATTGCAGAACATTTTTGAATATTCTAGCTATTCAGTTTGATCCTCATCAACATTCCTTCACACCAAGATCCTGTTTAAAAATCATTGAAATTCTTAAACTTATTAAAAATAACTTTGTAGGCCTCCATAGCTCCTGCAATCGAATTTCTATGTATTCGGTAAATGTACATACCAATGTCCCAAATTTCACTTAAACTAACTTTACTATGTCAGCTTAAAATATATCTGTCACTCTTTTATTAACCATAAAATCTTCATTTTCTTTTTCCCCCTTTACAGAAACTCGAAACAAACGATGTGAAGCCGCAGCCAACTAAACCAAGTGCTCAGGTAAATTTATGCAAATTTCAGTTAATTTGACATATAAATTAGAACAATTTCACAGCGACCCACTAAAAAGCTCGTAGCCTAAAAAAGAACTACAAAACACACATAAAGTAGACTATCCTACTAGAACTAGGTTTAACAATTGCGTTAGTGGCCTCATAAAGTATTCTACGTTACTATGTTACAGCTCCAGCTGGGTATTCAACTGGACCAACTGCTGTTCGTTTGGTTGGTTACAAATCCCAAAGAAGCAACAACAAAAACGACGACGGCAACATTACAAAACAACTTTTAGCCACTTTAGCTCTAATTAAGGGCATTCAGATCATAATTACCCCTCCTACTCTAGACTTATTCTCTTGTCTCTCAATTTAAAAAAAAAAAACGAAAATAACGAGAAAGTGCTAATAAACAAATGCCGATGCTGTACTTAGTTCACCACGAACGGGTATTCGGTTGGGTTTCTTGTTTCCAATTTTTTGTCTAATAGATATTTTGAGACTAGTAAATTTGGTGGGAAGTTGTCTAGGCAATTATTGAAAATAACACTATGTAACACAAAAAATAATTACAGGAAAATTTAGTAGTTAAGTTAAGTAGAGCTTATGTAGCAAATATCGCAAAGAAACCTAAAAATTAGTGTCTCCGGTATTATTACAAGATACAATCCCAGGATCATTTTGGCAGAAAATTTTAACGCTCATGCGACTGAAGTGGTCTTTCTGGTTCTTTTTTAAATTATGATTAAAATCGGCCCTTAAACGAGATATTAGTATGCGTTAAAACCGTATCTTATGTATTTTTATACAAAATACTCCTACAAAGCATCATTTGAAATTTGAGCGAAAAATTAGAAAAGATTTTCTTGTTTTTTTTTTTTTTTTTTTTTTTTTTTGCAACCTGATGCATATTTTTTCCTCATACATAATGGAAATAGAGATTTCTGTTCTATGATGACTTGAAGTGAAATTTAATGAAGAAAATGTTTGCCTTTGACATAATTTTTTTAAAATTATGTTTTGTGGAACAATAAAATAACCCAAATGAAGATGAAAGGATAAATTAGAAATAGCAAGTTATGAATCGGATGTTAATTCCAAGTTTTATAAGCTACAAAGTTATTCAAAATTTTGATCCATTGTGGGGAAGGTACCAGAAGGAGTGGACCGGTATATTCCATATTCACAGCAGATCTTGTGTTAGTAGAAATAATGAGATGTATAAAGAGAATTAGTACCAATTTCTTTAATCGTTTTGGTTATTAGAAAACGTTGACCTTTTGTGGGGAAGGTACCAGAAGGAATAGTTCGATCTCTACCAAGTCTGAATGATGTTGGATATTAATTTCGCGTTTTGTAAGCTTCATGGATATTGAAAATGTTAAAACTTTTGTGGGGGAAGTACCAGAAAGAGTGGACCGATATTGCCCATTTCCGAACTCAATGTAAGTTTGATAATAATTTTACGATGTACCAAGTTTGCACAAAATCGGATAACCCCTTCAAGAGTTATAGTACCAGCCAAACAGACAGACGGACGGACACTGCTAGAAGAAAATGTTTGCCTTTGACATAATTTTTTTAAAATTATGTTTTGTGGAACAATAAAATAACCCAAATGAAGATGAAAGGATAAATTAGAGATAGCAAGTTATGAATCGGATGTTAATTCCAAGTTTTATAAGCTACAAAGTTATTCAAAATTTTGATCCATTGTGGGGAAGGTACCAGAAGGAGTGGACCGGTATATTCCATATTCACAGCAGATCTTGTGTTAGTAGAAATAATGAGATGTATAAAGAGAATTAGTACCAATTTCTTTAATCGTTTTGGTTATTAGAAAACGTTGACCTTTTGTGGGGAAGGTACCAGAAGGAATAGTTCGATCTCTACCAAGTCTGAATGATGTTGGATATTAATTTCGCGTTTTGTAAGCTTCATGGATATTGAAAATGTTAAAACTTTTGTGGGGGAAGTACCAGAAAGAGTGGACCGATATTGCCCATTTCCGAACTCAATGTAAGTTTGATAATAATTTTACGATGTACCAAGTTTGCACAAAATCGGATAACCCCTTCAAGAGTTATAGTACCAGCCAAACAGACAGACGGACGGACACTGCTAGATCGACTCAAAATGTCCTGAAACGGATTTGGTACAGATCGTTATTCCGATGAGGCACGTTTTGGCCGTATCAAATGATATTATATCCTCTCTAGCCATATGACTGATGGTATACAAATGTGGAAGAGGTAGGGCCTTATCCACTTTATTTTGATTACTTTGTTACTGATGTAAATTTTTTTCCGACACACATACCGTCTATTTTTTGCTCTTTTACTTGCATAAAAAACTGAGCTGCTCCTCGGACTGTTGAAAAAAATGCATGTTGTCGCACAATGTAATTTTTTAACCGCCTAGTTGGGAATTTTTATACCCTACCATTATAAGTTTGATTGGGCCAAAAATTATGTAACATCTCGAAATATTGGTTTCCCACATAGGAAAGTATATATATATATATCTTCCCATCTCGTCGAGCTGAGTCGATCTAGCTATGTATGTCCGTCCGTCTGTCCATGTTAATTTGTAATCACTCTACAGGTCGAAATTATGGCCCGATGCTTACGAATTTGAATAGAAGCCTATTGTTTTTAGGAATGATCGTACACTATTTAGGGGTTGAAATGGACCAAAAACAGAAAAATTTCCGGATTTTACAGTTGCTCTACAGATATGCAATTATAGACCAATCGACGCGAAATTCAGCATGGGGCTAGAGTATAAGGTTGGTCAGAGGCCTACCGTTTTGTTCGGTCATAGTAAAAATATGAAGATTTCCACCATACCGTGAATATTTTTAAATCTGGCGAAATCACTAATTCATGAAAATGTCACTTCTGACCGTTACATTGATACTCATATCCAAGAGATCGCATATATAGGAAAATATGTACAATCTCCTATATCAATGATGGGGAATGTAGTTAGAACGTTTATAACTCAAGAACGGCTTGACGGATTTTTTTTTTAATTTATTGTCATATTTTTTATCGCATACCATTTTTTTATATTTGTCTTACAATATCGAATTTTGTCTTTAATAATATTTTTTCACCTTGCAACACTATGTTTTGGGAGTATTATGTTGAAGTCACAATTATCATCCGATTCTCAAGAAATTTTGCATTGCAGAATTAAAGCCTATTGGTTTTCAAGATGTATATGTATAGGTTCAAATGGACAATGAATTTAAACTTCCCTGATCTTGCAGTGGCTCTACAGGCTACAATTAAAAACCAATCCACACATAATTTTGTATGAGGTTAGGGTTTAGGACAGCGCAAAAGTCTAGCATTTTGGAAGACACTTGAATTACATTTAGCGGGACCTCAACTTTTGAATTACATTTAGCGGGTAAAATGGACCTCAACTTTTGTGTGAAATTGTTTTGGATACCTATCAGCACGACATAGAGTATAAATATAAGGAAAATAAACCCGGTAAAAACCCGAAGGTAACATTTGTGCAGGACAGTATGGCATTATTTCAAATAATCGACTAAAATGTGCTTGGACCTAAGGAGGTTTTCCAATATATTATAGTGTTGTCGGGTATCACGTTGTCCTATCTATTAAATCTTAACTTTGGATTAAAATAAAAAACTCCTGCAAAGTATTGGGACATAGTTTAATTCTCTCATGGTGCAGGGAATCAAAACGTTTTTATATTACCTAGTTCATGTTGTTATTTTTCTTTGTCCAGTTATTTGTTATTCTTTTCCCCCATTTATCTTCATTACTCAAATTCAATAAATATGTACTTATACATACTCGTAAATTTTGTTAAGTATCCGTCCGGTAGTAATAAACATTATTGTCATAATGAGACCTTATTTATATTCGAACATAAACGTGAGTTCTGCGAGTCACACTTAACGTTAGTAATCAGTGGTACGTAGAAGTAGGTGCTGATGACGAGACAAAACTTACTTAAAACCCATTTGTGCTGGTCTGTAAGTGGTGGTATTAACTCTTATGTGTATGAGAGTGCGTTTGCGGTCTACAGCAAAAATACCCAATGAATAGAATGGTAACGAATTATAATTTTCATTCTATTCATTGTTTAAATGACAAACATCGATTATGGCCATCACATAGTTTGTTGGGTTATGCACCAATTGCAATCGACAATTAAGTGCTCACTTCAACTATGTTTAAGTGCTTGACATAATGGCAAAGAGCAAAAAAACAAACTATAAACGACAATTTGAATACCTTTGGGCCAAATATGCAAACGCAATACCAAGAGTACTTAATGAAAATAAAATTGACCTCAAATTGGATCCCGTTTTGACTTGTACCCAACATTGCTTTGTGCATTACAGGGGGTTAGTGATCTTAAAGAGGGAAGGGTAAATTAGTTGGATTTACAATGTAACCCGTCTTTATTATACACTGTTACACTAAATTTTCGCGTATTCCATTCGGGCGTCATGTAAATATTAAACAAGTAAATAAAAGCTATAGTCGTGCGGGGCCGACCATGTGATACCCTACAACACTGCAATAAGTTAGAAGGCCTCCTTATGTCGTTATCTGCCTATATTTATCAACGAAATCAGCATAAAAAACCCGAAGTTCGCCTTTTGTATATTTCGGATATCGCCTTTAAGTAATATTGGCTGCACAATCAGGAACATTTTTAATTGCTGTTCCATTTCAACCCCTAAATATATTGCGGATATCTTTGAAAATAATAGGTCTCGCCCTTCTGAGCCTAACCCTACCCTTGCGAAAATTTTCTTGAGGATCGGACTATAATTGCAATCTGTATATAATAACCCCAACCTGTGTTGTAAGGTGAAAAATATTACAAAATATACACTTCAATATTATAAGTCAAATTGAAAAAATCGCATGCTATAAAAAATATGAAAAAATAAAAAATGTCACCAAATACTTCAAAATTAATCTATATATATAAAAATCAATTGTTGTTTGT